GACTGTCTTCAAAGGCAGCCCCATGTAGAGCGCATTGCACTAATCTATACGAGATGTTACCAGTGCGTGTATAACTGTCATGAGACTCTGCTCATCCAGGTAGCGCCGTAACTGGTATAATTTCTGCAGCTGAAGGAAGGCATCCCTAGCCACCAAGTCTACCTGGGCTTCCAGAGTTAGACTGGGGTCCAGGAGCAATCCCAGGCTGCAGACCCTGTCCCTTAGGGGAACTGTAACCCCATTCAGGGCAGGGAAATGGCCCTCCAGCCTGTCCGGCAAAACATCCAGTAACAGCACTTCCGTATTGTCTGGATTGAGTTTCAATTTATTAACCCTCAACCAGTCCATTTTCAGGTCTAGACACGAGTTCAGCACAGAAACCACCTCACCTGGATTGGTGAAAAACAAAAGGTAGAGCTGAGTATTATCAGCATATTGCTGACTCCTCAGCCCAAACCTCCTGCTGACCTCTCCCAGCGGTTTCATATAGATGTTACTGTCCCCCATGCTGTTATCGAGCCCTGAGGAACCCCATTACATAAATGTCATGAGATAGAGCAACTGTCCCCCAGCACTGCCCTCTGGACACTGTCAGCTAGGAAGAAGCAGAACCACCGTAAAGCAGTGCCCCGAACTCCCAACCCAGCCAGCCTATCCAGAAGGACACCATGTTCGATGGTATCGAAAGCTGCTGAGAGATCCAGGAGTATCAACAGGGTCACACTCACCCGTCTCTCTCCCGGCAAAGGGCGACCAAGGCAGTCTCCATACCAAAACCTGGCCTGAAACCCAATTGAAATGGATCCAGAAAATCCATTTCATCCAGCAGTGCCTGGAGTTGCCTGGCCACAACCCGCTCCAACACTTATAAGGGAGGTTCACTACTGATCTCTTTGCCCAAATAAGGGAGGTTCACTACTGATCCATAGTTAACCACCAACCTTGGGTCCAGGTTAGGCTTTTTAAGGAGTGGTCGAATTACCGCCTTTTTCAAGGTAGTAGGGACCACTTCCTGTCTCAAATAGGCATTCATGGCCTCCTGGACCCAGGTGCCACCCCCCCCGGCAGATTTTCCAATTAGCCAAGATGGGCAAGGGTCCAGTGAAGTGGTGCGAGAATGGATAGATCCAAGCACCCTGTCCACATCCTCAGGTCTCAACAATTGAAACTCATTCATTAATACTTGACCTAAGCACAGCACACTGGACACATCCTTTGATTATACTCACTTCTGATATTCAATACAATTATTAATACAACTCAATATCTTCAATTTTGGTTAAGATTCAGGTATTCAGCAACTTAAAATAGCAGCAGCATCAAAAATAAATAATTACCCTATACCTTTCCCAGTGAAATAAGTATGTTATCTTTGGAGATACATTTTAAAAACATGATCAGGAAGACACACCAATCTGCTATGTCAGAAGCGTTTCTAGCTCATATTTGTTTGGCTACAATACTATTTCCCTCAGTACTACACAATCATCACTATAATAAGCCTTTGCAAACCAGAAGCTTGAGCATGACAGAGAATATTTTGATTCCAGGACCACAGGCTTTGGAAGCAATTTGGGGCCCAAAATGTAAGATGGAATGTCATTGTGTATAGTGTGGAGTTTGAAAATTATAACTTCAACCACTGGGCAAGACATTGTTCTTTGATGTTAATTTCAGTGTTTGGGCTTGTAATATGATAGAACAGTATCAATGTCTAATTAGCCCAAGTCTAATGTGTTAAAAAATAATTATAATACATTGCTGTCAAATCATTTCTGAGCTGTGGCAACAATCATGCCCTCTATAAAGCACTCAAAAACTGTTTACCTGTTGGTTGTTGTGGGTTTTTCGAGCTCTTTGGCCATGTACTGAAGTTTGTTCTTCCTAACGTTTCACCAGTCTCTGTGGCCAGCATCTTCAGAGAACAGCACAGTGCTGTCCTCTGACGATGCCGGCCACAGAGACTGGCGAAACATTAGGAAGAACAAACTTCAGAACACGGCCAAAGAGCCTGAAAAACCCACAACAACCATTAGATCCCGGCTGTGAAAGCCTTCGCAAATACATTGTTTACCTGTTCCTTCTTCTGGTGGCATTCTAGGACTGTGCAGATTGTACAAGGCCACACACAGGTGGCAAGGCACATTTCGGAAGCCACAAACTATTCACATAGTCAACCTTAAATGGCAAGAGACCTGGTGGCCCATAACACACACAAATCAGTGGAATAGCACATGCTTTGCTTGTGAAAGGAACTGAACTGAATTTTATTTATTTATTTATTTATTAAATTTATACCTCACCCCTCTAGACCATGTCTACTCGGGGCGGCTTACAACATAAAACAGATCTATATAAAATATATATATAATCATAAAATACAATTTCTATATTAATTAAAACAATTAATTAAGAAAGGATACTAGGTTGGGATAAGATAAGAAAAAAGAAATGAAAAGAGTTAGCTGACTGGAGGGAATCTCACTAACTTTAGGTAAGTCGGCAAATGTTGGTTCCCCATAGGTTGTTGAATTGTAACTCTCATCGGCCTTAGCCAGCCAAAGGAGAAAAAAATTGAATCATATTACTCTAGCACTGGAAGTGATTCCCCTTCAATTTATTGAATCATAGAACACGATCCTATGTTCACCAAGTCTAACCTCAGCTCCATGAAGCAGGTGCTGCATAATTAAAACAACTCAGACAGATGACACCCAACATCTCAAAAAAAATCTTCAGTGAAGCACAGTCCATCACCCTTCAAGGTAGCCTGTTCTGTTGTTTTTTTTTTTTGTCATTTTTACCATCAGAAAAGTCTTCCAAATTTTGAGACCTCGTTTCTTGCAATTTGCATTCATTGCCTCTGGTCTTACCCTGGAGTCTCAGAAGGTAAACATAATCGATCTTTGGACAGCCCCTGAAATATTTGAAGGTGGTTATTTTGTTACAGGATTACTTTTTCTTATCTACAGAGTAGCCCTTTTGCTGCCTATTTTATTCTACTTGCACTAGTTTGAACACCACCTTCCTTTGGGGAAGAGGCCAATGCAAGGTGGATGTACATCAGTTCTCGCTGTGGCAGCACTTCCCAATTTGCTTGACGGAGGGAATCTACCATTTCCACATTCTTTCTCTTGGCCTGGGTATAGGCAAGCAACTTTCAGAGACAGGATGGCAGCTTGAAAATTGTATACAATTTACTGCAGACCAATTATCTGTGGAGCGCAAAATACACCTCATAGCTGAGGTAAGACAAATCTGGTCTTATCCAGCCCTGCATAAAATGAGGGCATAAAAATCCCTGCCAGAGATATTATGGGGCTCAGTCATCCAGTTCAATTCATAAAGGCAACTTTCTATGTTTGCATGCTAATAAAGCTAAATATTACAAAAACATAATCTACAGAAATATTTCAAAATCCCATTACACGGATCTAAAATGGACTGGGCAAACTTAATGCAGAGAAACTAAGTAGGTTTAGGTTTTACTCAACAGAAACAGGTGACCAGCAAAAACAGAGTGCGCCTTCTTTGATACAGAGCTTCTGGGAACAGATGCCACAGACTGCAATGGGGTTATCTGAATAAACTCCCTGGATGTCACTCTGCAGTGCTAGTTCTTGCTTGGAGACTCAACTTGCTGGAAGATCACGGATCTAAAATGGACTGGGCAAACTTAGTGCAGAGAAACTAAATAAATAGTCCAAGCTTGCATTTCCTTAACTCTTTCCCCACCTCCACTTTTCCCCCCACCAGTAAGAAGGGCTTGCCATTTATTTATTTATTTATTTATTTATTTATTTATTTATTTATTTATTTATTGCTTCCTTGGCTTAGTAAAAAGCAACACTACAAACTCCTTCTCAGAATGGGAGGATCCACTTCAATCCTCTATTAATAGATACATCAACCAACCCCATGCTGCCAATAAGCCACACCCCCTTCTCACCAAGGAGGTTTTCCTTCGCCCTTCTGTCCATCTCGCTCTCTCTCCAGTGTTTATCCAATAGAATAGCTGCATTTATATCCGTGCCCCGACCCTCCGGCTTCCCTTCTTACCGCCACGCCCCTTTCCCCAACAGCCTTCGCTAGCGTTGCTCTCTTGGGTGCCACGCCCCCTTCTCTTTAACCCGGCGAAAACGGCTGTGCTGGGAGGGGAGGGCTCTGAATGACGGAGTCTCTATTCCTGAGCACCTATTGGTTCGGATAGAGAGGCGAGGCCCGAAGGGTGTGTCTGTGTGTGTGTGGGGGGGGCGCGTGCGGCTGGAGGTGACGGCGGCAGAGGCGCTGGCGCGTGCGCGGTTTGTGGCAGCCACTTGTCTGAGGGGATCGCAAGGGTTTTGTGCGCTTGTCGCTGGTGCTGCAGAGGAGGCCGCGGACGGCAAGGATGTTGGGCGGACGGCAGGTGCCGAAGACGCTTCGGGTGAGGAGAAGGCCCCGAGACCGCGCCTCATCTCGGCTCCTCCTCCCCCGCCCAACGGGCAGCTTCCCTCAGACCCTTCCCACTCGCCTCTCTGGCGGGCACCTTCCCGCGTCCTTCTCCGGTGCTGCCGGCCTTTCTCTCTTGCCCTCCGCCGGGGGAACTGGAAGGAGAGCGTCTTTTCCCGCGAGGGGCAGCCAGGGCGTCCTCGGTGCTTCGTGCGCCTATGAGGCCACCCTGGCCCTTTCCTACAGGAAGGAGGGGGCTCGGGACCCCCAGCGGGGGAGAAGGGTCCGGCCAGAGCCACTTTCTCTGAGGCCTGGCGGGCTGCCCTGGGCGGTGTTGCTGCCCTGCTTTAGAAGCAACAGGGCCTCCTCGGCAAGTTTGAGGTTACCCCTTCAGGCTGGTGTGGGGTGTCCCTGTGTGGGCTCCCCCCAACAAAATTCTCCCAGATGTTTATCATCCCAGATGTTCCACAGAATCCTCCCAGATGGTGTGTGTGTATTGGGGGGGGAGGGTCAGTCACAGGCAGTTTTCTAAAAATAAAAAGCTTGTCCCGTGCTAATTCGATATAGTCCTGAATTTGGGCATTTACTGATTTGTGTGTTAGGAATGGTTGACTCTGACATACGACAACCTTAGTAGGATTTTTGAGGCAAGCGAGATGTTTAAGGAGTGGATTTACTAGTGTTGACAGCTACGTGACAATTTGAACTTGGGTCTCAAGGATGGAACAAATACAGTATGGCTAATAGTCATGTCTAGTATTATTTGAATTGTTGCATTTATTTTAATACCCTTTAGAGTGGATCCAGGTTGGTGGCTATCACTGTTTCTTGTGAAAGTTTATGCATAATGTGAAAATCATGCTTACTGGTGAATGGTACTTTGCTAAGATCGGTTCTGTTGTTCATGATGGTACTCAGTTGTTGCTGGGATTGTTGCCTCATCAGGCTTCAGTTTCTGAGACATGCAAGATAGATGAGTTACTTTTTTGAAGCAATACCCCTGTGTACATGGAAGCTGTTCAGAAAGGACAATTGACTGGCAAATTGCTCCCATGGTAATACTGTCATAGATCCTCATCTATGTGTGTCACTGCCCACTATGGCAAAAGTCATCCAGAGAGGTTAAAATAGACAGATTAAAAACTGCCCAGTGTCTGGCTGAGCCAATGTTTATTAATTGTCCTAAACTGCTGAATGGGATAAAGGTCACAGGATCAAAGGGTAAATGAATAGCACTGATGTCTACAACAGACAATATGCAATACAGCAGCATTTTTACGGGGTAGATTTAAATCCAACCAATTTAAACCATGATTTAAATCACTGCAGGGTGGATAAAAACCAACTATTAATTTTTAAAAGGAAAAATCTGATTTAATTTTTTAAAAAAATTTAAAAAATTAATTTCTATCCACCCTGCAGTGATTTAAATTGTGATTTAAATTAATTTTATTTACATCAGATCCATCCTGATTGTTTACCTACCAAGTAATTTCAAATGTTAGGAATTTTTAGAAGTCATACTTCATGAAAATTATTTGTAAAGTTAAAAGAATTATTTTTTCTAGCTGCTTATCACATCAGGATTCTTTGGCATGGAACTATTTCTGACACTGAATAGTGTTAAAAATGTAACCAAAAAGTGTTTAACTAATTAGTTTAAAATACATATACAGTAATGAGGAAAAATAGTACTACTTTGCAGTCAGTAAAACAGGACTAATTTTCCATAGCAGTAATATAGTAGACAGTAAAAAATCATCTTCTTTTTTCAGGCATTAACCATTGTAAGCCGAGGCTATTCATCACAGCAGCGTGGTTTAAATGTAAGTATGAAGCAGAGTGGACTGCAAGCATTTCATAGAATAATGGAGTTGGAAGGGGCCTATGAGACTATTGAGGCCAACCCCCTGCTCAATGTTGCAGTCCAAATCAAAGAGTATCTGACAGATGGTTGTCTGATTTTCTCTTTAATGTTTTGAAGAGTTTCTTTAGTTTTTCAAATGACTGGATTATTATTTACATAATCCTACTTTCAGAACCCCTTTCAAAAGGCAAATGGAGAGGTTCCCAACCATACATGTTGGCTACAATCCAGTTGATGCAACTCTCATCTGTAAATGGTGATGATGTCTTCACCTGGTAACTTTAACCTTTATTTTATTTTAAATTTGCCTATGTCCTCCATTCCTTTCCCCCAGAAATTGCCTTTCGGAGTATCACGTTAGGGAAGAATATTAGAAAATTGCCACTGGAACAAGATTGCCAATGGCGATCCAGCAGTGATTTTTCATCAGAAACCTCAGCACCAGAGGGGAGGATGGAGAATTTTAAATTAAATATTAAACTTGTCTGGTGATCACACCGTCACCATTTACTCCTGATGCAGTTGCACAACAGGAGTTCACTTACATAAAGCATTAATACTGGAAATATATAAAACAAGCCCCCATTCTGTAATCTAAGTGAAATTAAATTTGAACATTTACATCTTTCTTAATAAATACTTTAATTGCTGTAATGTTTTTGTTTTTAGGAAGTAGTCATTGTAAGTGCTGTCCGGACGCCCATTGGATCTTTCCAAGGATCCCTTTTCTCACATCCAGCAACTAAACTTGGTTCTTTTGCAATTAAAGGAGCAGTAGAAAGAGCAGGTAAGATGTATGACTCTCGTATACTTCATGATTGAATCCCTGAAATTCTGTTTCGTTGCCGAGACTCTCAGCAGAAGGTGTACTTGTTTTCATCCAGCATAAAAAGGGTACTAGTTTGCAGTACTACTTATATATATGTTCAGCTTGGAGATGCTGGACTTGAGACTTGTGGGAGTTGCCTTCTGATAGAACTATTCTGTCTTTGAATGAAAGCTATGTAGAAACTCTGGTCAGCTTATTCTTTGTGTTCGCATCATTCATTTTCTTTCATTTTTTGGGGAAATATGTTGGTGAGTGCTCCAACACTGGAGGTATTCAAGAAAAACTTAGATAATCACCTGGTAGATATGCCTTGATTATATTCCTGCATTGAGCAGGGGTTGGACTTGATGGCCTTGTAGGCCCCTTCCAACTTTACTTTTCTATGATTCTATATTATTACTTAATGTTTAGAAATGACTTATCTGATTGTCATTAGGTATCCCTGCACAGGAGGTGAAAGAAGTGTACATGGGCAATGTCATCCAGGCTGGGCAAGGACAAGCTCCTGCAAGACAAGCAACTCTTGGTGCAGGTATCAAAATTGTGTTTTACTAGTCATGATTACTTAAGGTACAGGTTGGGTTCAGTCTTGTTAAGTAAGACTATACATTATTGGAAATAGATACTGCTTTGTAATTAATGTCAAGTAATGTAAATGCTGGATGTTTAAAAGAAAGGTAAAGGTACTGACAAAATACAGTGTACATAATACCGCAACAGTATTAAAATTCAAATTGATGAAGCATTTTCTTCCAAGGGGTATCTCTTTCTCCATTAATTTTTTCTTCTTCTAGCTTTCCATCTGCTGGGTACTCTGAATGTGATAGATTGTTCAGCAGATGTGGAGCAATGTTGTCAGAATGATTTACTAAAGTAAAGATGAATAAATCCATACAATACAGTGATGCCTGTGAATGAGCTAATAACTAATGACTTGGGTGAAAATGTATCTTTATAGAAGTAGTGATGTTAGGAGAAGTCTTGTGACATGTCTTAATGGTTTATTTTAATTTGTTGTAGGTTTACCGGTTTCAACTCCTTGTACTACTGTCAATAAAGTTTGTGCTTCTGGAATGAAATCCATTATGATGGCAGCACAGAGTCTGATGTGTGGGAACCAGGTAGGAAAATTTGTTGCAAAGATTTTGGATTCCTGCAGTAGATTCCTTGGAAATGATACTCACAGATATCACTAACTTTTGTACTGATATTGCGACAAAATTTGGCTTGGCTAATATAGCATTGATCTGGTTTTTTCCTTTAGAAGGATCCTTTGTTTTGTTATGTGTTGTCAAATCACTTCCTGCTTATGGTGATCCTATGAATTAATTAATGGTAGAACCTTTTGAAGGTCATTATCTGCTCTGTGTAGAATGTTTGTTTGTTTAACTTTAGATGCCGCCAGCATTCTTTTTTTAGTCAATTTATCTCATGTGATATCTTATTCTTTTTGTACTGCTTTATTGCATTTTCTAGTGTTTCTTGTCTTCTCATGATATGTCCAGAGAATGGTAGCCTGAGTTTAGTTATTTTCTATAAAGTTCAGGCTTCTTTGATATGAAATTTGCTTATTTGTCTCTTTGGAGATCCATGATATCTAACACTACATTTCAAATTAATTGATTTTTTTCTCCTCAGTATTGTCCAGCTTTCACATATGTATATTATTGTTGGACATACCATAGTATGGGTGATTCTGGCCTTTGTTTCAAGCAACACTTTGTTTCCGTCCCTACACTTCAGGATGTATTTTAGATCCCACATAGCTGCCCTTCTAAATCTGTCTTCTGATTCCTTGGCTGCATTTACTATTTTAATTCATGATTGAACCAAGCCATAAGACGCACCTTTCCATAAGACGCACCGATTTTTTAGGAGAAGAAAACAGGAAAATATAATCTGTTTTCTTCGCTCCATAAGATGCACAGACTTTCCACCCCCCTGTTTTGTGGGAAAAAAGTGAGTCTTATGGTGCAAAAAATACAGTATTTTAATTCATGATTGAACCAAAGTATAGAAATTCTTTAACAAGTTCAATGTCTTTATTATAGACCTTAAAATAATGCAATCCTTCTGTAGCTATTATTTTTTCTTCACATTCAGTTGTTATCCTGCTTTTGCATTTTCTTCTTTAGCTTTCCTCAGTAGTGTCTTCAAGTCATTGCTGCTTTCTGCCAGCAATGTTTCCGTATAACCTGCAAATCTTGCTTTGTTGATGTTTCTTCCATCCAGTTTAACTTCATCATCTGAATCTTACCAAGTTTTCTGCATATGGATCGAACAGTTAAGGAGATAAAATATACCATTGTCCAAGAAATCTAACAATGGTTTCTCCGTATTCTGTTGTAACAGTACTTGTCCAGAGTGTAGGTTATACATCAGAATAATCAAATGTTGAGATACCTATTTCTTTCAGAAGAATCCATAGTTTTTCATGATTGTTGTTGTTTAGTCATTAAGTCGTGTCCGACTCTTCGTGACCCCATGGACCAGAGCACGCCAGGCCCTCCTGTCTTCCACTGCCTCCTGGAGTTTTTCATGATACATACAGTCAAAGGCTTTGCTCTAATGTATAAAGTACAGACTGTTTTTCTTCTGAAATTCTTCTCTGTGCTTCAAGTCCTTATTATAAAATCTTGAGTATCACTTTGCTTACATGGGAAACTGATGCAATGCTTCTATGATTACAAAATTTGATGCCCCTGGCTTTGGGATGGAATGAATTAGACCATTAAAAGCAAAACAAGGTACACTCTAGAAGCATGAAAACAGATCAAAACAGATATCAAAACAGATATTTGCATAATCAGTTAGAGGAAAAGATCTAATTGATGGAAGATTATTATATCATATTAGTTTTTTGAGTATCTTGCAAATTTTTGTCTGGGAGTGAGATAAATTATCATTTAAATAAATCACTAAGTAACGTCAACATCTTTCTGAACAGGATGTGATGGTGGCTGGTGGAATGGAAAGCATGTCAAATGTACCCTACACAATGGGCAGGGGAGCAACACCTTATGGAGGAATAAAGCTTGAAGATCTGATTGTGAAAGATGGCTTGACTGATGTTTACAACAAAATTCATATGGTAAATACTGTTTAATGTCTTACAGTTATTTGTTATTATTGTAAAGTTGTAGGGAGTTCAGAGTCTTGTATTTAACTTGACTAGCTTTTAATGAAGTGAAGGTACTGTCTTTCCATGACATAAGGTTTTTGCAACTCTGCTGAATTTGACCATAGCATCTGGGTGGAACTGTTACCTTCAACTTGGTACTAACTTATAGCAATCCTAACAGAGCTCTTAAAGTAAGTGAAATATTTAAGCAATGGTTTTACTAGTTCTACTCCTCCCCCAGTTACTTTCCATGGCAAAATGTGGATTTGAACCCAGGTCTTATGAGTCCTAGTCTGTCACTACGCTACACTGGTTATTAGGGGACAGAAGTACTTCTCGCAGAGAAAAATATATTGCTGAGAAAATAACAGCCCTAGGGAGAATTTATCCTTCTCATTCAGTAACTTGTAGTTCAGTCTACGTTATGTCTTGCTGTTGTCATGGCAGGTTTTACTGGCCACTAATACAAAATGAGGAAAGGAAGAACTTACTTATGGGGTGCATTTTTACTTGCAGATGAGGACATGGTCAACACACAGGTGGTTTTTGGTGGCAGCTCTTGTTTATTGCTACACTTCTTGAAAAGATGCTGCTCATAGTTCTTTCCTGATCACAAATCTGCACAGAGTTTGAGCGTAGGTCATGCAGTTGTTCCATTTTCATAGCTGGTAACATCCAATCCTGGAAATAGTATGTTTCTCTGAGCACTGGATTTTCTCTTGATATTGGATACTGAATCCATGGGTATATACAGAAGAATTATTAACCTACACGTTATCTTTAGAAGATTGTTTATCTGCAGCTCACAGAGGAAACTGCAGCAAACGCTAGAAAGAATCTTGTAGCTCATTGAAGATTAGCAAGTTTTATGGAACACAGGTTTTCATGGACTTATTTCAGTTCTTCCAAGGCATTGTGTAATTTTTCACAAAAGAAGAAAACCAAATGCTTAAGATTCTGCAGTTTTAGCATTTTACCTTTTGCTTTCCCTGCAATAATTCTGATCTAGCTTATTTCTATGGACAAACACATTGATGAATTCCTTTTGGACATCTGAAAGCTGCTCTTGCTGTGGGATAACTGGAAACAAAATGCAGGCATATGTCTACTCAGACTTCAGGGGTGTGGCCTTAGTGTGACAGCCTTCTTAAGTTTGCTCGAAAAGTCAAAGATTTTTAGCCACAGGAAGAATTTTCTTCCACCTCAACCTTATTGTTAACAATTTCAGACAGAGCATGTGTGTTTATTTAACATGTACTGTATAATTATCAGCATCTTAGAACTACAGCACTGGAAGAGTCCCTATGGATCATTAGGTCCAGCTCCTGTGAAGGAGGCACAGTGGGGCTTTGAACTCTCAACCTCTGGCTCCACAGCCAGAGAACTAAGCCACAGAGCTATCTATCAGCCCTAAAATTAATTAAAGCATATATAAATATTTGTTGACTCATATAAATTGCTGAAAATCAACCTTTTTGTAGGAACAACACTGTTGTGAGAAATCCTATATATACATATTGTACCCTGTTTCTCTGAAAATAAGTCCTAGTATGATTTTTCAGGATGCTTGTAATATAAGCCCTAGTTAAGTGAAAACCTGCCTTCCACCATTGTGCAGCATTGTGCAGCAACCAGCAGATGACATAACACCATTTGAAAAAAGTACATAAAAAAAAAAAACATCTCCTGAAAATAAGCCCTAATGCATTTTTGGAAGAAAAATTAATATAAGACTCTGTCTTATTTTCGGGGAAACATGGTAAAGTAAATCCCACTAAAATCAATTGAACTTTTGAGTAAACATGCATAGGATTTCACTGTCAGTTGAGTAAATGACACACATGGTGCATAACAAATTCTTATCCATGTCATCTCTTTTTGAAGCGGCGCAGCTGACATGTGGATATCTGCTATATTCTTAAAGGACTGTCAGTGCTTCTTTACTTGTTTTAACTCCCTGATTCTTTCTCCTTCTCCTGCTAGGGTAACTGTGCAGAAAATACTGCTAAGAAACTTTCTATATCACGGGAAAATCAAGATGCCTATGCTATAAAATCTTATACGAAAAGCAAGGAAGCTTGGGACTCAGGAGTTTTTGCAAATGAAATTGTACCTGTTACAGTTTCTCAAAAAGGTAGTATGATTTAAAATAATTCCTCCATCTTGTGATATATGAAAGGTTCATGTGCTGACAACTCAAAAATTAAATTTGCTATAAACATATTATGTATGCTGTGATAATCAACGTGTAACTCTGAATGAAGACTGGTCGTATTAGAGATATACTGCCGAAGTCACATAGAAATTTGCGGGGGGTTTTTTCTGTTGATTAGTGCATTGTTTAATTCCCTCTAAAAGGCTGTTGAAAACAATTTGAACTGAAACTGATTTATTTTTAAAATGAGACCAGTTTGCCCCTAAAAGCACCAGATCTGAAATAGACATGTCATAAAGAAGGTTTATGGGGACGTGGTGGCGCTGTGGGCTAAACCGCAGAAGCCTGTTCTGCAGGGTCAGAAGACCAGCAGTCATAAGATCGAATCCACACAACCGAGTGAGCTCCCATCGCTTTGTCCCAGCTCCTTGCCAACCTAGCAGTTCAAAAGCATGTAAATGCGAGTAGATAAATACGTACCATCTCGGTGGGAAGGTAAAACGCCGTTCCCTAGTCATGCTGGCCACGTGGCAACAGGAACTGTCTTTGGACAGGCGCTGGCTCTATGGCTTGAAAAGCGGCATGAGCGCTGCTCCCTAGAGTCGGGGACAACTGGACTAAAATGTCAAGGGGAACCTTTACCTTTAAAGAAGGTTCAGTTTGTTTTCTCACATCTGTCTGACTCACTAATATAAAACATTCTTCTGGTCCTTTAGTAAAAGGTCTCCAAATTATTCCCAGAATTGGCCAGGTTAATAGCTTAAAAATAGTACAAAGGGTAGATGTGTTAACACAAGAATTTGTGTTGTAACCTCTTCCTGTTAGCTACTTGCAGAAGTTCCTGCAGAACTAGGAATCTAAGCACTAGGTCTTGAGAAAATGTGGGAATTTTAATTTCTGTGTTTTGACAAACATAGCATTTAAAAGGAAATGTGCAATCATGGTGGGTCAAGTTACAAGGCATATTCGAGTTATCTCATATATGGTGTGCTCAGTATCCTAGGCTTTATGGTAATTCAGGCCTATTTGAAGAAAAGTATAATACAAATAATCTGTAAAGAGAAATTGTAGGCATTTCTTCTGTTCAGCTTTCATGGGGCTTTAGATCTCTGTTGCTACATCCCCATATTAAGAAATTTTCCACTCAACCCTCCAGTGTTTTACAGGTTTTCAACCTGGAATTCCAGTACTGTTTAAACTTCACACTTAAGGCGTCCCTTTGAGCTAGTAGTCACTAACGTTCAAGGTTATCTTCCTTATATCAGCAATATCTGTTTGGATTTAAGTTATCTTAAGAACAGCCATGATGGATCAGGCCAGAGGCCTAGCTAGTCCAACACCTTGTTTATACAGAGGCCAATCAGTTGCCTATGGAGAGTGCGGTAGTAGGACATGACTGTAATTTACCCCGTTTTATATTCATACATACAACAGCTGATATATAGAGGATGCACCCTCTTGTACTGAAAGTGATGCACTGCTATCCTGGCTAATAACACTGATAGTCTTATCTCCTTGAATTTATTCGGTCCTCTTTTAAAGCTATCCAGGTTTAATGCTATAGTTTAAAGCTATCCATATCGTGTGAGAAGAACTTCACATTTCAGATCTGTGCTCCATAAAGAATTACAGCATTCTGTCTCTTCTGGGTCTCCCACTGTGCAGCTTCCCAAGGTGCTAGCATTATGAGAAGAGAAAAAGTATTTCTGTATTTTCTCTGCACTATGCATTTTCAAAGCTAAAATGGTTCTAGATGTTATAATTTATTCTTGTAGGGGAGTGGCTCTGGTTTCTTTATCTTTTTTATAGCTCTTTTCTGCACCATTTTCAATTTTGCATTATCCTTTTTTAGATTTTTGTGATCCTAGGGCCATATTCTTGTTTAGGCTTGTGCATAACTATCCATGAAGTCTTCTTATGCTATAATAAAACTTTGAATCAAGAAGAGGGAGCAGATTGGATCAAATTATTGATAACTTAATGGGTTCAGAAGTGGAATGCATTAACTGTGTATTGGCAGATGCATTTCCTTATGCGAGTTATCAAGTGGGCATTCATTACTTTCTTTTAAAGTCAAGAAGATTATTATTTCTGCTAAACACTTAGCTAAGTGGTAGTTTCAGGCTTAGCTTTTGTATCTGCATATTTTTATTATACTGGCGTCACAGCTCAGTGAGTTGGAGTATATGTCTGCATAGCTGGGATTGGAAGTTTTGATTCCCCACTGTGACTCCTGGAAGAAGAACCAGCCTGTATAGCCTTGGGCACACTGTGCAGTCCCAACGTGTTATTGGAAGGAACTTCTTTACTTTATACTTTGGAAGCCCTGGAAGTGGTCACTACGTCAGAATTGGTATCTTGGATCATATCCTTTAGGTATAATTAGGTATCTTGGATCTTATCCTTTTATTGTTCATGTATAAATCTCATTTGTGGCCTATAATTTACAGGAATAAGTTTACTACTACTAAGCTGGTGGGCTCCCCATTGAAATGAATGGGGCTTTATTATTGTGCAAGGAGATAGTGCACACTTCACTATGCACACTTGAAAGAAGCCAGAAATTCTCACAACAAACCATTGCACAAGCAGAATGAAGAGAATACTGGCCTAGGTTTGGTAAATCTAGTTATCTAGGCTTTTGAAGTTACCACTTCATTTTGGATGTTTTATCCATTTCTTGGGATATGTTAATCAACGTGGTTTTCAAAGAAGTGGCCATGGTAGCTTGTTTTCCTTATTGTGGGCCTGAACCAATGTCATCTATAAAGTTAAGGTTTTGTTTACTTTTTCATCTGTTGATGTGGTCTGTGCCATTTTTGCTAGCAGTGGACCTTTGCCTTCTACAGAATAAAGGGCACAAGCTGGCATCAGAAGTGGCAAAATGCAAAAGCCAGTTTCAGGGTGATTCACAGAATCACTATAAATCAGAAGCAATTTGATGGTACATAATGAAAACTATTGTTAAGAGGTTTTGCTTTTCCAAAACCAGATTCTCCTCTTGTTACCAAGTAAAACAGGAGTTTCCAGAAAACTCTTATAGTTTTCTTCCTGTTATGTGCCATCAAATTGCTCCCAGCTTATTGTGACCCTATGAAATGGTGACCTTAATAGCTATGCTCAGTTCTTGCAAACCCAGGGCCAACAGCTTCCTTTATTGAATGAAACCTTGTTTAGTCTACCTCTTTTGTTGATGCCTTTATTTTCTAGCTATACTGTATTTTTCAGTGAGTCTTTTCTTCTCGTATTTTTCTTACTGAGCCAAAATGCCATATAGGATGTCTTTACAAAGCATTCTTCTTAACCAGGGTCAGTTGTGGGGCAATACAAAGACAAAATGAGAGGTGGATGTATAATGGAGAAGTAGAACAAGTGTGACATTATGCAAAAGATTCTTGGTGTCCATCATGAAGCTAAGCAGTGCCTAGTATCAACAGTCAAGAAGCTTGATGATAGAACTCAAGGTTAAAATCAACTCTGATGTATACACTCAACATCTTTTCATGAAATAAATTATTATTTTAGGGAAACCAGACATAGAAGTTAAAGAAGATGAGGAGTACAAACGTGTTGACTTTACCAAAGTTCCAAAGCTGAAGGCAGTTTTTCAAAAAGAAAATGGTAAGATTTTGAATGTGCTAGAACATCCCTTCAACTGTGAAATTGCTTTTTTTTTTAAATTTTAACCTTCCTTTATTTCCTATAGTGTCAATAGTATGTTTTTGGTCAGTCAGTGGTTTAATATTGTAAGCAGTCAGCCTTTTACAATGTAACCTAATATAATTATATTTTTTAATGATAGATTAGCCCTGAATTAAAAAAAACAGGGGGAGATTAAATAGCTCTTGGGTATTCTGTCAGCTCATACCCGAGTCTTATATTTTCTCCATCCATTAACTAGTTGGGTTTTGAAGTCTTCTGCAGAGCCCTAATATTGTGCTAAGAACCAGAAATATACATGTTGGGATGATGCCATTGAATTTAACCTACTGTATGATGAGTATTCTGGAAGTGATGGCACTACATCATTTTTCCTAAAAGACAATAACCTTTTTCAGGAACTGTAACTGCTGCTAATGCCAGTACATTGAATGATGGAGCAGCTGCTTTGGTTTTGATGACTTCAGAAGCAGCCAAGAGATTAAATGCTAAGCCATTGGCTAAAATAGTAGGTATGTATCTTGCCTTTCTCACAACATTCTGTGAAATGCTTCTGCAACCCTGACTAAAAACAGACAGCCTAACTTTGTTTTTTTTCTTTTCTTTTAAATCTGTGGATCTGTTTGCTTTCTTGGTGAAAAGCTGCCATGAAAGCTTGACAGTTTTCTGAACTCTTAAGTAAATATTCAGGAGACTTTTCATCATTCTCTTCAGTTCCTTGGAAGGAATAATCTCAAATTTCTGCTGTATCTGCTTTAGAAATAGCTGCCAGAACAAAATTCTTAAGTAGGACGGGCAAAGTGCAGTCGTCCGCATATTGTTGGAATGCTTTTCCCAGCTGAAGAGTTGGGAAATCACAGCATATGGAAGATTGCACTTTACCCGCCCCTGCTTTAATGCTTCTTACATGAGTACCATAGAAGAATTAGTCTGAAATACAGCTGTCAGTGACCATGCTGTCTGGGGGATTCTGGGAGTTGATGTCCAAAATGTAACTTAAATGACATGGATATAGTTTAAATGTTCGTGTTTATTTTCTTGCAGCTTTTGCAGATGCTGCTGTTGATCCTATTGACTTCCCAGTTGCACCAGCGTTTGCTGTTCCTAAGGTAACAACGAAAGTGATCCTTTCTCCTATTTCCCGACTTCCATATGAAAATTGTCCTGAAATCATGCCTACTTGACATCTATCATAGTTCATCTATAGTAATCATATATACCAAAGTATGAAATGATTGAAAGTGCATTTAAAATCCTTAGTTTTTCTTTGCATTGATGTTTTTGATTTTTTGCATTTCACATTTATTGCTTACAAAAAAAATCCACACTGATAGCAAATGAGCTTTTCAATTTTATCTGTGAATGTAAGTAAACATACTTAAAAGGTTTAGGTGGTATCCTCAGATAAAATTCACTATTTTGGACTTGAAAGATATTGAGTTGACAAACTAAACAGAAGATAATTGAAATTAACATTTATCAGACTTTAACTGATAGTTACTCCATGTTTTTGTTATGGAATTTATATTAAGTCATCCCATGTTATGTCTGGTAATAGGAATTTTCAAAGGCAGCCTCATGGAGCAGAGGTTAAACTGCAATATTGCAAGCTAAAATTCTGTTTATAACCTGGGTTTAATTCCAGGTAGCCAGCTCAAGGTTCACTCATTCTTCTGAGGTCAGTAAATTGAATACACAGCTCATGGGGCAGGGGGGAAATCTGTAGCCTGCATAATTAAAGTGTAAACCGCCCAAAGTGCTTTAAGCACTATGGGGTGATATACAAGCTATATACAGTACTCTGCTTTTTACTTCTTTGCCCCATGTAAAGTGTGCTATCCAATACTGACATTAAAAGTTCAACTAACTTCACGTAGTGTGAGATGTTTACTACCGTAGCAATATGGGCTACTGTGCTGAATGGAAAACAATAGGTTACAATTGTTTATATTCTGAAGACCACCCATTAAACAATTATAGTATATGACACATATAGTCCTCCTTTTTTCCCAATAGTCTGGAAACTGCAGTTGAGCTCAACTGAAGCTAATTGTTTTTAGCAGCTTGCATAGTGTTTTAAGCTTTTAGTTATTGAGTTTTGCTTCTTCTACTTTGTGTTACTTCTTATTCTATGGTTGTACGTTCTATTTTATCTAAAATATTGGAACTCTAAATGCTTGTTTATTGTATACCGAGAGAATTATGATATGGGATGGCATGCTGCAAGTAAGTAGAATTTAATCGCAGTCAAATTAAAATACAAATCACGTCTTAGGCGTCTACCTCACAGAAAAAGTTAGATTTGTTTTCTTTTCAGATACTTAGTCAAACGGGACTGAAAAAGGAAGATATAAAAATGTGGGAAATCAATGAAGCATTCAGTGTTGTTGTCTTAGCCAACATTAAAATGCTGGATGTTGATCCGGAGAAGGTGAATATTCATGGTGGTGCAGTCTCTTTAGGACATCCAATTGGGTAAGAGAAGTAATGCATTTATTTCATTGTATAGTTTTCATGACAGAAATTAAGAGTGTGAAAACTACTCTTAGCCCTCTTCTGTTATGGCCATTTTGTTTAAGGGAGGGAAAGACCACCTTGAATTATACAGAAAATACTTCCAGATTTTTACTCAAAATTAGACTTGTTAGTGATTTGTATTATGCTAAGCATCCTGCTTCAGAATCCACCAGGAGATAAGAATCTGTACTGTACAGCTCAAAATTTAACTTTAGCTTATAAAAAATCACAAGCAAAAAAGGAAGTCTAACAGCTAGTGTGGTAATTGATAGTCACAGTATTTTGAAACTAAGATAACTCACTCTTTACCATGTAAGAAACATGAGGCCCTTTAGATGTTGTTAGATAGTAGTTATCATTAATCTTAGCCAGCACAATGTTCAAGAGTCTATAACCATGGGAACCACACCCCAACAACCTAGGAAGGATCATGTGTTCTCATATCGTATCTCACTAGAGAATTACTTAGTGCTTACTTATTAGTCACAGCTTGCTGGAATGCAGTTAGTTCTCTTGCTTATGCGAGAGTATGGGCTAAGTCTGTATAGGTGAAGAACCTATGATTCTCCAGAAGCTGCCATTTTGCTCCCATTATCCTTAGTGTTTGAGCTGATAGCCAATGACTGTCTGGACGGACAGCCGCAGGTCCTTGATTCCTGCTGTTGTGCATCTGGTTCAGGAGCATGGCTGGCTGATATGAGCCTCCTGCGTGAGACATTGGAAAACAGTTGCCACTTCAAGGACTCAATCATGCATTAGACAAACAACCAAACTGGCCTAGTACAAATGTACTAGTTTTCTTCTCCCTCCTACTACTTTGTCCCACCCACTTTGGCTTACCTTACTAGTTTTTTTCTCAACTTACCCATATCCTCACCTTGCTTCCAAATTGTGCAGTGGCATGCTATTCTCAAACTGCCTGAGAGGTGAGCAAAACTGTCAATGTTTGTAAGGCTGCTTAGTTTAGCTATATTATGTTTATTACTCTTTTTTTAAAAAATGAAATGTTTAGCCTGCATAAATTACAAGCACTTATAGGATGTTTATGAAACTTAAAACTGAACTGATGGGCTTCTTCTCGTGTTTTAGGATGTCTGGAGCAAGAATTGTTGTTCACATGGCTCATGCACTAAAGCAAGGAGAATATGGCCTTGCTGGAATTTGCAATGGAGGAGGAGGAGCATCTGCAATATTGATCCAAAAGCTGTAGACTGTAACATCAAGCCTTAAAATTCTGACTATCAAAATGGCTGCAACTATTGACTATTGAATTACAGTATAGGTCCCCAGGCTCAGAAGCTGACTGCACGGGCCTGCAGGGGGAAGTGATTAATATGCCAGTATCCTGAAGTGGCTCATTTATTAAGCCACTTCACAATACTAGCAGGATTTGTTTCCATGTGGTCAATGTTGATTAGATCATTCTTATAAAGCCCAAGTGGGCCCCACTAGCTCACTTCCTGCTACTAGTGTAGCTGTACCCTCAGTCTATCATTGTTTTCAAGAAAAATTTTTTACTGTAAACCGCTTCCCTGCAAGAAGCTTTTATACCATAATGATTACAGAACATGTTTGTTTAACTTCCAGTCAAAGAGAATAAAGATTGTATACATTATCACTGTGGACCGTTCCTGTGATATTTTAACAATTTTACAAAGCAGGATTGTCATAAATCCCACTTTAAACCAGGGATAGTCAGACTTCAGGTTTATGACATCCAGTGTTGTTCTGCTAGGACTCGATCATCAGGAAGATATCAAAATCCTAAAACTCATGATGCTAATGTTAGACAACTGGAAGCACCCTCAATGATATCCTTGTCCTCCAAAACTTCAACCAGTCCCAGTTGGATATCTACTGCTACACGTAGTACAAAGAGAAAGCGATGAAATGTAGACCAGATTGTTCCTTCTTATCCAAAACATGGACATAATGTAGCTTAATTTCAATCCCAGGAAAACACTGTAACACAATCCCACTAGTCACCCCTCTTCCTATACAGTGTATTACTAGTAGAGATGGGTGTGAACTGCCAGTTTAATTTCTTGGCTGAGCAGGTGTCTAATGGTTCCCAGCCCTGTCTCCTCTGGAAGTGCCCACTTAGAGGTAGCACCTGGAAGAGACAGGGCAGGGAAGCTGGGGTGCTGCCCCTGAGTGGGTATCCACCAGAGCAGGCAGCGCTGGGAAGCATCAAACATCTGTTTGGTGGAGAAACAAATCACCAGTTTGTGTCCATCTCTTATCACTAGTGTAATGGAAATAGGCTTGCAGCGCACCCTTTTAATAAGTTGCATAATCTTTATTAGTTTAGATGAATTGATCCATATTTGGGGAAAGGAACTTTCTATATGTGCAGTCGATTTTTATTATTATTTTGCAAAGCCTAAGCTTCGCTTCTTTTGGAAATCAAAAGATAGTTCCTCTTGTTTGCTTGGGGGTAAGTAGAAAGAGTACATCTATGTGCAGTGTTTTGAGTCAAGATGGGATGTGGCTTGAATTTCCTTGCTTTCTGAGGTCTGACTTTAGCCTTAATCTCTGCCTTTATATTAAGAGCTTTTCCCTCATCCTTAAAGAATAAGCAATACTCTTCATTTTTCTTTAAACATGCCAAACTATTTGAGCCGTTAAGTAAAAGATGAACACTGCCACTAACAGGACCAACTTTAGTAACAATTTAAAAAATACACAAACTTAGGGAAGTGATATTTACATGTGCATTTTAAAAGTACAGTAAAAAGAAAAATAAACCATCTCTTTAGATTCCTGGTGTTACTTTCTAAAAGTTGAAAACCCTTTATTGTGACAAACTTGCAATTTGGGAAAGACAAGCAGGATTGAATGTAGAAAAATCCTACATACAAAATGAACAGGGCAGCCATATTTAGAAGAAAACTAGCTATCCCTTTAAGACTTAAGCCAATAATTAAGCCTTATCTCTTCAATAAAGCCAACTTTCTCAAGCTTGGTCAGAATCCTCCTGCCCTATGTCATTCCAAGCACAATCATTTGAATGCAAGCTGTACTTTACAATGGAACTTACTTCTTGGTGTATTTAGGATTATTGGGTGTTTGACAGTATGAAAAAGAGGTCTGAACAGTTAATATGCACATTTTGGCAGAAAACAGCCAACAACTAGTATTAATAAAAGTATCTTTTTGTTTACAACTCCCAACTCTGTACAATATTTACATCATCCAATGAAATACAATTGTGCAAATTCGGTATAGGGCCAATTAAGTGCTCTCTCAAAATTAGATCCACTAACTTTTCTCCAGAACCAGTGTGACGTTTCTCACATGAAGATGAATTTCAGTGCACTGAGTATGCCACTTAATCTTCTGTTCTTCTCTCTTCCTCTTGGTACTTGCTACAGAGTACTTAGTTTCGAATATACATTCCTATTTATTCGTCATAATGCAAAGATAACAAGAACTTATCCACATCCATGCCAGCAGGAAAAGCAATTGGTAGCTTCTTCTGCTGAAAAACAAAACAAAATGTAAATGCCTAAAATCCCATTGCTGTACAAGACTCTAGTTGCACAAAATAATTTATTTGTAAAAAAACAAACCAAAAAACCACCCAGTTATGTGTTGTCCAAGTCACATCCAACAGAATGTTTGACATTTCCCTTTTCAGAAGCAGACTGCTTCATGCCATAATGCAAATGTCTTTTCAAACATTCTACCATTTCAAAAGTCATCCACCATTTAATACAGGAGACTGATATTTGAGAAACACAATTACCAAGATCTCTTGCAAGCACAGAAAGCTGCAGTCTGGTGGCTCAAGTATTGCACTGCTTTGTTCACTTATCTCAGTGCGGTTTAGCCATCATTTTTGAGAGATTTACAAGGATTACAATGACCATAACAAAACAAATTCAGTGTATTAAAACCCACCTTCATTCTCACCCTCCGCCAAGAAATAACTTGTGAAAGAACAGTACTGAATTGTAATATTTTATTATTGACTGTACCAATGGTCTTGCACTCTTATTAAAAGCGTGCTGCATTTAATCCATCTCTTCTAATCCAATTTTATGTAGTCAACAACACAGGATGCACAGGACCTAAATGGTCAATTGGGAAATATACCAAACCTTCAATCGCTATAAAAAGCTGTATCATGTAAGTTATAAAACAGCAATCTGAGATCAAAAATAAGCAGACTACACTGGATCTGGAATGTGCAGAAGCTATTGTGCTGATGGAGCTCACATCTGCTGGCGCAGCTGCCTGAGATCAGAAAGCAGAGAAGCCAAAAAAAAGTCATGGAGAAAGGAAGGAACTGATTTATGCAAGATCCAAACTCTCTTCAGCCTCCTATGCCAGTGCAAAGGGAGACTAAACTGAAGATAGTTCTAAGTAATTTCCAACATCTCTAGGCTAAGAGAAGTTGAATTCAGCACAGACTGGAACTTCTTAGCAAGAGACCTCAGCCAGACCTCAGCCATCTTCACTGGTTAGGACTGTGCCTTGGAATCTATAGTCTCTTTCATCGCCACTAGATAAATATAAAAGCAGTGATAGGTACTTTTTTCTTCTTCTTTGTCTGCAAGATAGCTTGCAGAACTGGACTTGTTTGAACAACACTTGTTTGAACTGGACAAGATCAGACTAGGCAGAGCATGTGGGACCCCTTCACTGAAAACACAAAAGACTGCTATGAAAGAATGGTGTCACCCATGGACACTGGCTTGAATCCTGCTGGGGATTTCCATGTGTACAACTAGCGTTGCAGAAGCTGTGGTGCTATTTGATGAGATGCCTATTTCATGACTTGGTTGTGCAAAACAGGTACCTAACAAAATATTGCAACTAGCTCCAGGCATAGGAATCCCCAAAGAGTCCCGACTCTTGCATCAGCAGATGGAAAGGAGATGATTTGTGTACAGAACAGAGACAGATTTTCAAATTTTTAGTCATCCTGTGTTTTAGGCAAAACACTTGCTGGTGATATTGCAAAAGACCCTGGGAAGTGACCTTCCTTCTCTATTCTGGGAATTAGCCGCATACTGGAATTAATGGCTGTTGTTGCAGTGATTCAGAAACAATGTCATATAACGTTTAGGAATCAAGGACATCTACTTACCTTCACTTTTTTCTTTTTTATCGGCATTGTAAAATTCTGAAGATCTTTCTTACTGGCTGTACGGGAATTCCTTTCACATTCAACCAAATCATCCTGCTTCCTTTTTTTGGCTGCACTTCTTAAAGGCTTAAACTGTTGTGTATTGTCTTTCAGAGGAGTGGCTGTACTAGTCCTTGCAATAGCAGCCCGGGAAAGTATCATCAAAGTATGGGCAGCCATGCTAACGCTGTTTTCACTGCCTGTTTCACTCGCTGGACTGCATGCCGGCATGTCAGGAGTAGCCGGAGGGACCATGATTCTCGGGGTTGCATTCTCTTCACTGTAGCGCCGGCACGTTGGTGTCCTCATTACATCAAAGGTATCCTCTGAGTGTCGGTCACCTGTTCCTGAAGGTGTACGAGGCACTGGCAAATCCCCACATTCAGGGAGTTTACTACTAGGGCTGTGCCTCTGAATGTCATGCAGCATTTCCACAGCTTGCTTAGTCAATGGACTTGTCAACGAATGGGTTTGGTTGGGAGATTTTGTTTGGTCTTTTTTGGATTCCTTGGCAGGCATGACTCCCGCATTTTTGCTGTTTGTGTTTGACTGGAGCCCTTGTTTTTTAGTTAGCTCTTGAGCTGAGGAGCTGTTCTTCTCATTGTGAAGAATACTATTTTGTTGGCCACTAGATAAGGTGGCCACCTCCTGATTTTTGGGGCTTTTGTCAAGACCCCTTTCGAGTTCATTCTCTTTATTTGCAGTCTGCTTTCTTAACACATCTGATGCCAGTCCTGGACCTAAATTCTTCCTCTCCAGTTGGGCCTCCTTCATAGCCAAGTTTCTGTTAGTAATATCAGGCTTACATAGAATCCTGGGCAAAGTCCTCTCGCGTTCCCTCTTGCTGGACTGAACTTTAGTAGGTGAAAACACAGTATTGGAAGAATTTCCTGGGACTGAAGGGCTTTCATTCTTTTCTTTATGCGATGCTTGTGTGCCTCCTATTGGAGTACTAAGGGTGTTGTCAAAGCAAAGCACTCGTCTGTGGCTCTCGCTCTGTTTGGGACTGGAGCTAGTGGCATCAATGGCAAGGGTGTCAGGTTTCTTTTTCACATCTCCACTGGCGTTCTTGTCTGCGGTTCCAATTCTGAAAGAGAAAACAAGGCAAGTTGTATTTGGCAACCCAATCATGACATTATTTCATTTTTGCTTATGTACGAGGGAATGCTGATAAGTATTGAGGCTTTCCCAGAAAAAAATGAACTAGGAAGCTGTAACTGCCACACTATTCTATATATTCCCCCAGGAAGTCAGTGCACTTGTGACATCTGTCCTGCACCTTCTTAAGTCCCTGCAAATAAAATTCTTCCGACTGCTGGTGTAACCACTCATTTGCAGCATTAGTTGCTTCCAGAACACTCCCAAATCTTTGTCCCTTTAGGTGTTTTTTGAATTTGGGGAACAGATAATAGTTAGAAGGAGCCAGGTCAGGAGAATAGGGTGGATGGGGCATCACTTGAAAGCCTAAGATGGTCAGATTTGCCATTGTTTCACTTGCAGTGTGTGGCGAGCCGTTGTCATGCAACAGGATGACACCTTTGGAGAACTTTCCTCGACATTTTTCCTTGATGTTTTGCCTGAACTTCATCAATAAAGCACAGTAATATTTTGCATTGATTGGTTGAACCCTGTTGGAGGTAGTCCGCCAGCAAGAATTCCCTTCTTATCCCAAAAACTGTTGCCATTTGCTTCTGCATCAACCTTTGCACTCGAAACTTCTTTGGTCTGGGGGAACCACTGTGCCTCCATTCCTTAGATTGTTCCTTTGTCTCAGGATCATAACAGTAGATCCATATCTCATCACCAGTTACCAGTTTGCCCAGGAAATCTGACTCATTTCTTGTAAAATGTTCCAAAACAGCCATCAATGACTCCACACGTTTCCTTTTTTGTTCGGTTGTCAAAAGTTTGGGGATCCACTTTGCTGCCAGCTTTCTCATTTCCAAGTTGTTGTGGATAATGGCACCAACTCTCTCACGTGATATTCTCAGATATATAGCAATACTTTTGGCTGATATTCAGCGGTCCTCCATGATAATGTCATGGATGTTTTTCACATTTGCAGGCACAGAGACAGAAACAGGCCTTCCACTGGGTTTCTCACATTTAACACTGAAATGGTCAGTGTTAAAATTGACAACCCAGCATTTAACTGTTGCATATGAAGGGCCACTGTCACCCATAGTTTGTGACATTTCATCATGGATCTGCTTTGGAGAAAAAGGAACTTGATTACGGTCCTATGCTCTTCCGCACTGGACTTTTCTGGAGGTGCTGCCATGTTCACTTTGGATCTGAACATGAAAGATAAGTTAAAATCATAGGTAGTTGATTTTTGCACCATTGAATACAGACAAATTGGTCAACACACCCTGCAATTTATAGCTTCCTAGCTCAATTTTTTCTGGGAAAGGCTCAATACTCATCAGCACCCCCTCGTATCAACTGGTTCATTCATTTCTCCAAGTTAAGTGTCTAGCCAAGGATGCTAATAACTCATAAAAGTCATATACCCTGAAACGTGTCTTAACTAACCTTTGTACTCGAGAAATAGGACGATTCACAGGCTCTGATCCATTTGGCATCAGCTTTCCTGAATCAATGTGAGAAACAAACTATTAAAATAAAAAAATTATACATCCTCTTTTCAACTTGAAGCATCTGAAGAAATGTTTCTGTATAGTTTCATATGGAAGGTTACTGAAGTATTATTTTTGCTTCAGTAAAAATAGTTACAATAGTTTCAAGATATAGAGTTATGAAAGTATCTGCATGGAAGAATATAATTCAGGGACAAAGCCTCTAAATATTCCCTCAACATATCACCACTTTACCTGCACTTGACTTATTTCTTGGGATCCTCTGTGATTTGGGAGGGAGAGGTAATTTAGGAATGCCTCCGCTGCCTAAAGATGGCTGTAATGGCATGTGCAGGACCTTGGGAAAGTAAAACGGAAAAAAAAGGATGAAAGTTTTTTTAGTTAAGGTTTCTAAGCTCATGAACATTACGGTGATTCAATGGTAGCATTTTACCTGCCGTGACGGATCTGAGAATGTATTTCCACTTTGTCCCATGATAGATACTGGAATCATTCCCACCATGCCCTGCAACACAGGCTGTACCGGAGATGCAATTATAATTGCAGAACCTAAAAGTGAATAGACCTGGGTGAGCAACAGAATGTTAATGCAAAAAAGTCTCAGAATTTCTATCTATGTTGTCTTAAGATTAGGGAATTTACTATTCACTTGTTTCCTACATAGTATGCTGTTCTTCACTGCTTGTATCTGATTACTACAATGTATTTGATTACTACTCTTCCCCTAAAGAGCTCAAGTCTGCATATACAGTAGATACTTCCCAGGTAGTCTGCATCCTCTGTAGCTTGTAAGGGTAGACCTGCTGGCTTTGGTAGGAGAACTGCGTCATTCTCCAAGGGATGGCTCAGCTGTCATGAAGTACTTCCACACAAAGTAGACCTGTTTGTCTTAGGAACATTCATGTGGAGGAATTCATGTCTGACTCATGTTGTACTTGAGTAGAACTACTGGGTTTTGACTGCAATTTGGATAGTAAGCAAAAAATATATATATACAGAGGGAACCTCTCAAAGACAAGCAGAGATGCATGTGGAACTGTCCTTATGTCGAAGAAAATGCAGAAACGCTTGCGCTACAGTTCTCAGGGAAAAACAGACCTCCCTGGTGAGTTCAGTTCCAGGGAGGGGCTTCTCTGGTTTTACTTTCTGTCTCATCAAATACCTCGTGGTCAGGTCCTGCAGACTAAAGGGTGAAAGGGGAAGATTTTGTCTCTTCCCGTGTTTCAAACCTCAACTCAAAAAAACCCACCATCCAGCATAATTAAGGAATTATGGAAGTTGTGCTCAAAGACATCTGAAAGATCAAAATTTCCCTACCCTGGCTTAAAATATGAACTTTTGTGATGCTTTCAGATTATCTCAAAAGCTATAAACAGAAATTTACGTAGAGTTCTTAGCCATATTTCAGCTTGAAGTTTTGTTATCAGCACAGGTTGTCAGCAATCACAAAGTTTGTAAACACCTTAATCTAATGGGGTACATTTATTGAATAGTGTTCTTGTTTTGTGTGCTTACCTACACACACATCTCACTGAGTATTCCTGGAGTGGCCCGTATGTGTAGGTACCCCCACACAAGGTATGCTTGACTATCAAGCCAGTTTGCTCTCCAAATGATAATTTCCCATTTATCACAAGTACTGCTTCTGTAGGGCTAAACTGGTACATAATCAAAGGAACCAATATTAGATATAAGTGATACAAACCTTCTACTGTAATTTTGGCCCATAAGAAGTCATTATAAACTGCTTTACTGCAGCCAAAACTGTGCTCACAACCTGGGGTTCAATCCCAGGTAGCCGGTTCAAGGTTGACTCAGCCTTCTATCCTTCTGAGGTCGATAAAATGAGTACCCAGCTCGCTTGGGGGGGGGGCAATGTGTAGCCTGCATAATTAACTTGTAAACTGCCCAGAGAGTGCTTGAAGCGCTATGGGGCGGTATATAAGCAGCACGCTTTGCTTACTTTGCTTATCTTGTATAAGCAGCACGCTTTGCTTGCTTTGCTTATTATCTTTTGTGTTCTTACAGTTTCTGCCTATCATAACACATTACAATAAACTACCCTCAAGTGAAGATTTAAGGTTTTAATGTGAGCTTATTTAAATACGACAACAAAATATTATTGAGGCAACTCAAACATCAATCAGTTGGGGTTGTTAAGCAATAGTTACCCTGTGAGAAGTTTGGAGACACTGGTGAATTCAAGGCAAACAAGTTGTTTGTTCTAGGTGGAGTCCGTAACTGCTGTGCTGTTGGCATCTGTGATGCAAGAGATGTTGAACTTCCAGGCAACACAACCAAATTTGGTGGTGTAGCACTTGTACTCAGAGCTGTTGGTTCCGTTACACAGGTGGCAATATAGACACTGTTGGTGCTGTTAAAAGATGTACTTGTACCTGGCATTAGCTGTATAAATCCCCCATCCTTGGCAACATTTGTTGCTCCAGAAATAGAAAAAACAGTGCAGTCCTCATTCTGTACATTGAGTGTACTCACAACAGAGTCTTGAGGTCTGAGGACAAGAAGATTCTGTTCTACTGAAGCTGTATCCCCAGTCCTCTCAACCTCTTCTGAAGTTGTGCAACTGGATGATCCTTCTATTTTGACTGGTGATTTAGCTGGAGAAGACAGTATTATAGTTGGCAAATTGTCTCCAGTGATGCTGGACACAGCATTGTTCAGTTCTGTGTCTGTTGAAATGAATGGGTCATCACTGATAATGATTTTTAGGGAAACTATGCTAGAGGGGTCTTCACTTGTGGAATGACTGCTCGATGAAACGCTAGCAGCAACTTTGTTCCCCGGACTTAACTCCCCCACTGGCTCTGGTGGGGAAGGAGAATGACATACCATAGTGGCGGTGCAGCTGCTTTCAGTAGGTGGCTCTGTATTCCCCTCACTGTCAGAAGCCGGAAACACACAGTCAGCATCTGTTTTTGTAGAAGATGATGGCTCTTGTATTTCCATCTGTGTGATCACCGAGACCTCAGATTTCTGTTTATGGCCTTCTGAACATTGTTCTGGGTGCACAGACTGATTGTCGGAATGAACACTATTGGAGGTATCTGCTACTTCAAGCTGCAGCTCTATTGCATTTGGTGTGGATCCATTCACAAGTATTATGGCAGAATCTGACGCAAATTTGTCCTGTCCTTGACAAGGAGAGAGAGGAGGACTATGGACGTTTTGCTGGCCAAGTGTGGGAAACACAGGTGACTGTTCTTTACCTGGTCCCAGATCTTTATCCGATTGTGGAGAATGGTTAGAGCTCACCATGTCTGCCCCACTGACCACTTCAGTGTGATCAAGTCTTAGAGGAGTTAGCAATTTTGCACTGTTTTTCTCAGATAGTATACTATTTGGCAGTGGGTAACACTCAGCACTACCAGATTGTGATGTCTGTGGAACACCTAAAGGATCATACTGCAGATCAGCTAAATTTTGAGAATCCTGACATGGTAGGTCTTTTTCTGATCTACAGATTGTTGATGCTGCTCCTTGTTGGTTGTAAGATCCTATGCTGTGTCCACTGAACTGTGAGCCAGAGACCTGATTTGGCTCAGATTCAAAAGTATTTGTGTGTTCAGCAGTGTCTCTTTCAACGGAATTACTTTCCCCTCTTAATTTAGAGCCCACGGGAAATTCCCCAACGACTACTGTTTGCATCTTCAGATGTTCCTCCAAGGTAAGATCACTGCCACTGCAACCTGGCTTCGGGACACATGCTTCTTTTGAATGGTCTTCTGTGTATGACAATCATCCTTGGGAATTATCACCTACAAAAGAACAACAGAATTTCAAAATTGACACATTTCAAAGTAGTCCACCATTTGATCAAATAGACTTTTGAATCAAATTTGTTTTTTTATGGCACATTCAGGATTGTCGTGGCAGTGTTTGTGCAAGACAGTAAACATTTCACTAATTTATCAAAAGGTACAAGTCTTAGTTTTTCTTTCTTGTGTTCCAATTTAATGGAAGATTTAAAATACTTTGTCATCTAGATTAAAGACTCTCTTCCAATAACAATTAAAAAAAGGAAGTTGTGTTTTTCTGTAGTGAAAATGTCAGTGTTCTTGGAAACACTGGTTTTTATGTCAAAGCACAAACACAGGATTTAAGAGAAGGCCATACTTTTCCCTCTTAATTCCAACCAGAATTTTCCTGTCCAATCCTAAGGAAGTGATGCAATCCAACTGATACAGGCTATCCAAGGAACAAAAGGAATATATGTTTGGATTTGGTGCTTAATTTTAACATAGGAATCCTTTTGGGGGGGGATGCACATATGTAAAGGCTTAGTTGTCAGGCCATTTGAATTCAATTTACAATTGCATAGTGTAATAAAAGTCACTCTGCTTACCTCCTGGGGCTGGAATCCATAACATAGGCAAATATGTGGGGTCTACTGTGTATCTAATAGGGATGTGGTAGCACTGTGGATTAAACCGCAGAAGCCTCTGTGTTGCAAGGTCGGAAGACCAGCAGTCGTAAGATCAAATCCACACGACGGAATGAGCTCCCGTCGCTTGTCCCAGCTCCTGCCAACTTACCAGTTCGAAAGCATGTAAAAATGTGAGTAAATTGGTGGGAAGGTAACGGTGTTCCGTGTCTAGTTGCGCTGGCCATATGACCACGGAAAATGTCTATGGACAAACGCTGGCTCGATGGCTTGGAAATGGGGATGAGCACTGCCCCCTAGAGTCAGACATGACTGGACTAAATGTCAAGGGGAACCTTTACCTTACTGTGTATCTTTATCTCACTGTTATTCCAAAACTGGAATTGCAGAGGGGCTCATAAAGTGATAAGAAAGTACTCACATGACAAAACACTGTGGGCAGCGTCCAAAGTTAGTTACTGTACCCTTAAGACCAGATTCATTGAAATTCATGAGAAGTTAACTGTGACTAACTGAAGCCCCACTGGTTTCAGTGAGTCTATTATGACTAAGTCTGAATCAGAAATCTAAGTACACACCTTGAACAGGACTGCACCCCAAAGCCCTCAGGGAACAGCTGCAAACCCCAGCTGGAAACAGCTTTTAGTTTCAGAAGAGCAGAAGAAGAAAGGGAAGAAAAATTTGTGCAGATCTCCAGCATTCCATTAGATTCAGCCCAGAGGAGTATAAAGACAGCTAATTCACACCATTCCAAATTCTTCTTTGGGGCTGCTGTTTTGTCATGAGCATACAAGCATTTAACATTCACATTGTAGTGGCAGTCATTTTGCGAGCTATTTTATGCACAGCAGTGAGGAGGAATGGTTACTCATTGTCAAATATCTAACAGAAGTTATCACGAGACTATATAAAAAATGACAAATCTTGCATTTTTAAAAGATGGATGTTTCCTGAAAACCCGAGCTTCTATGCAGCTCTCATGAAACTTCACACTTGACTCTAAGTGTGTTTATCCAGATGTCCCATCTATTTCAATAGGACTCACAAATTGAGCTATAATTTACAAAATCCTGTGTTAGAACACATATATTATCCAACAGATGCAACAAGACCCGTTTTTCTCTTTTCTGTTGTACATTTCTATAAAATGTAGCCATTACAATGTGCCCATATAAAGGTCTCCTTGCTTTCCAAAGAGACTTGCAGTCCATCTAGTAATTTACACAAGTGGGAGTAAAACCATCTAGAATGCTCAGCTGTAAAACAAAAGAATACCTGCAAATATCAAAGAAAGCAGACTCTAGAAAATCTAGTAGGAGATGCTTACCAAGTTTTGTTGTTGTGATATAGCTTTCAAGTGCTTCCAGATTTTCTTCAGACACCAAAATTCCACTTTCAACTCCGCCACCATGTGTGGAAATACCATGAGAAGCATTTTTACTACATTTGGTTTTACCTATTTAAAAAAAACCATATTTTGGCAACGTGGTTTCATGATACTCAAATTTGGTAAAAGATGTAAATATTACACAGAATGGAGGTCCAAAGGGACTATGTTCAGTGTCACCTGAAAATGGTTTCTTTGATACTTTTCTTATCTTAATTAAAATCAATCATAAAGCCATTTCAGAAAGTCAACAGCAGGGCAAAAATAATCAATGTTTCATCTTGATTAAATTATCCATTTTAAAAACTGGTAGTTTTTGCAGAAAATAGCGGATCAGAGGCTAATTAAACTGATCAGCTGATTTAAATGCAAAGAATGTAGCCTATGTTTGGGTGAGCATTTTATTATAAGTTCCTTCTAAAAAATGGGATTTTAAGGTAGCCAATATTTAAGCATAATTCTCTGTTATAATCTACTCTTCTGCATGTCTATTCAGAATTAAGTTTCAATGCATTTAATCGGGCTTACTCCCAGGTAAATAGGCACAGGGCTGTCATTAAAATCATGGTATCCAAAGCAAGGAGTAATACATACCAAAATCAAATATATCAAAGAGCCCTTGAAATGCAGGGTCTGACTCTGTTTGCTCCAGAATCTCCTGTATGGCTTCTTCAGTCATGTGAATTTCACCCTGCTAAGTATGTGTGTGCAAAAACAATAAAAAATTAGTTGAAAGCCTTAGATTTTTTTCAAAAAGCAACATTTCACTGAAAAATGCGTGAAGCACATCATCATGCAAAAATCACGAAGAGTTTGAAAAACAATCAGTCTTACCACAATAGCAGAAGTGACACCATCCATTTTACAAATACTGGAGCCAATTCTAACTACTCATTGCACATTATTTATTTACTCATTAAAAAAATTATACACCACTCTATATCCTAGGATCTCAGGGCAGGTCACAACAATGTATAACACAATTTAAAAAATATTCAATACAATTTAAAATCAAACAACAGAAACAGAGCACTAAAAACTGGGCAGGACACGATCCTTATCTCAAAGGCAGTGAGATAAGGCTACCCAGATATTCTTAGACTACTGCTCCCAAAATCTGTCACCAATAGCTGTGCTGGCCAGGATTTCTGTGACAGGAAGACCAAGAACATCTGGGAACCCAACGCTGGAAACCACTGCTTTAATAAATATGTTTTGACTTGATGGCAAAATTATGCTAATGTTGGCACCAATTGAGCCTCCAAGGGGAGGGCATTCCACAATTGGGGTACTGTGGCAGAAAAAGGCCTCTCCGTGTCTCCGCATAACAAGCTGTTTTCATTGACGGGAGATAGAGCAGGGCCTCCCCAGGAGATCCTAGTGATTGGGCAGGAGAGGTACTTGCTCGAATATCCAGGTCCCAAGCAATTCAGGACCTTGAACTCTGAACAGAAGAGTATTGGCAGCCAGTGCCAAATCCTTCAAAACAAGTGTCATGTAGATTCTGAAATATTCCTGTTAACAATCTAGCTGTTGCATACTGCATTTGCTGCACCATCCATGTTTATCTTGAAGAGTAGCCTCATGTAGATTGCACTGCAGTAGTCTAACTGATAAGTCACCAGGGCATGGACTACTATGGCCAGGTTATTTCATTTCCAGATGATTTCAAAGAAATTCTATACATATTTTCTGGACATACCGGTATTTATCACATTTGGTCTATGTAGAACCCCCTCAAAGGCTGTTTGAAAATGGGAGTTCTGTCCTGATTTTCCTTCCAAAGAGGATAAAACTATCATTTACACTCTGCCTTTAACATTTCTCTTAGAAGCTTACTTGAAGATCAAGGAATTCATCAATTGAAGACTCCTGTATTGCCGGGCCGCTCTCTGCTTGCTTTGCCGACTGAGAAATACTGCCATCACTGGGAAATCACAATACAAATGTTTATTATATCTCAGAAATAATCTGGAGACCTATAATAGGTTAAAGTAAAATAAGTTACCTGCCCAAGAATTTGTTAATGTTTTCAGCTAGTTTCTCCTGAAGACATTTGTTGCTCAGAATCTTCTCTCTGGCATTTTCAATAATCATTTGCTAGAAAAGGATGTCAAATTGACCCAAGGTTATGTTTCCATAAGTGCTAAGAAAATATTACTACCAGCACTCAGTCATTCCCCCCAAATCCTAGACAGCAGAATTCTTATCTGTAACTCAGCCATATCATAAACTTAACTGCTTCCTACATGCCACTAATTTTTCCACTCTTTTAACTCTGGGAATATTCTCACTCACCAAAACCCCCTAAAGGAGATGCCCTAAATTCAGTTTCATCCGCATTTAATAACTATGCAGCAAAATGGTAACAGATGAGAAACTAAAACTGCAAGGTTCTGAATCACAATGTTTAGTTACATTCTTCTCTCATGTTTGACACGCTAACTCTATGCTGACAACAGCCTTATGGCCAAACTTTCAAGACTTTAACATTTGATGCTCTGTGCATCAAGCTTTCATTAGAAACTGCACAAAAAATAGGGCTAATTTTGGACAAGTGTTTTTAAAAACTGATTACTTTATACAGTATATGCTTTACAGCTCTATGCAAAAGTGGAACAGTTAAAACAAATAGTTAAGAGGTGCAAAAAGAGGAGAAAAACATCATGGAGTTTTTTTAAAAATTAAGCTTACAGGAAGGTCACTCTGAATAAGTTCTAGCTGCTCGCTTTCTTCCTCCATTGGTGGACTTCCTTCTTCTACTGCCAGAGAATCCTGTAAGCCACAGTCAGATGATTGTGGACCAGCTAGTACAAGATTTTTTTTCTTCTGGGAGTCACTGCAATATTTCAGATAAATGGAAAAAATATAAACTTACTCAGACCAAGACATTCATGGCTCATGCCACAGCACCCACGCCAGCTTGCTATTGTATTTTTCAGTGGAATCTTTGATCTTAACTGAGATCCACATCCATTATGGCATTTGCTTCTTTAGTTATTTTCTTTCTTATATGCATTTATATTCTACCCAGAACTGGAGGAAAAGGCAGCTTAAAATATAGTTAAAAATAACAGAATGAACATACAAGTAGTTAAAAATATTAAAAGTAAAGTTAAAAGTAGACCACTTCAAAACGTGCTAATTAAAATTCTAATGATATCTTACCTAATCCAGAGAATCAGCTAAAATCCAGCTAAACAATGTTAGAAGTCTGTTAATTGCTGAAAGTCTATTTCAATAAAAAGATCTTGGCCTTCCAGCAAAAAGGACAGGAACATACAGGCAACGTTGGCCTCTTTCATCAAAGAGTTTCAGAGCCTGGAGCAGCCACAGAGAAGGCCCTCTCTCAAGCCTCTGCTGTCTGGACCTCTGAAGACAGTGGAACCATGAGAAGGGCATCTAGCAAGATAGTACTGAGGAATGCATCTTTCAGATAGTTGTATAGGGCTCTAGAAGTCATAACCAACACCTGAACTGTGTTCAGAAAAGAACTAGTAGGAAAGGAATATGGTTCCCATTACTGGCCCTGGTCAGCAGTCTGACTGCACTGGATCAGCTGAATTTTCTGAATTACTCTATAAATGCACCTTCACCCAGAATACATTACAGTAACCCAACTGGGATGTATGTAAAGCACATATCACTGTATCCAGGTCAGATATCTCCAGGAATACGTACAAGTGGTACAGTAGCTCTAATGGTGTAAATGCACTCCTGGCTATCATTAAGACCTAAGTGTGTAGGCTCAGGGTTGAGACCAGGAACACATCTAAGCTGCAAAGATGAGCTTTCAGGGTGAGTATAACTCCATCCAACAAAACCTAAATCCCCATTCTCTAGTCTGCCCTTTTAGTGACCAGAAGCACCTCTGTCTTGTACTGATTAAGCTTCAACTTGTTCACCTCCATCATCCACTATTGACTGCAGACAATGGTTTAGAACTCAAGTTGCTTCCTCAAATTTAGGTGGAGACAGAGTTGGGCATCATCAGCACATTGGTGGCACCGAAATCTAGACCTCTCGCAATGGTTTCAAGTATACCTTAAATAGAATCCTGAAGAACTCCACAGGCCAGCATATAGGCCATCAAAAGAGCCCCACAGCACCTCCTGAGACTAGCTCCAGACACGGTATAATATGTCCTATTTTGTTGTTCATGAGGTTGTATTTACCTAATTTTCAGACCTGCCAAGGACCAGATGATTTTTATTATGTTCTGATACGCGAAACCATAGAATTCAAAGAGAGTGTACTTTCTTTTTCACATGGATTTTATGTCCTCTACCTGTAGACTACAGACTCTATAGATTATGCACTAATGAAGCTTCTTAATTCCAAATATTCAGGATACGCAGAAATTATAAACAAGTTAGTTGAGACACAAGATTTACCTTTTCCTTTAACCATAGAATTCTACACTTGATTGCAGCTTCTGTTCTTGGAGCGTGGAAATCAGGCTGACAGAATCTCCTGCTTGAAAACAAAGAAGCAAGTGATTCTTCTTGTTGAATATTAAAATATATATCTTGGAAAAAAATATATTTTATGACCCTTTTTTTAACCAATGGCTAACATAACGGCAATGTCTCACTGTATCATGGAAGAACACCATCTCTCATGTTCACAATGAGGGCAGCATAGCCACACACATGGCTGTAATTCAACCATAGTCAAGTAGAATTCTTACAGCATGAGCATAAACTTACCATTAATGACTTTTTCCTGAACTTGGCCGTGATGTGCCAATGATGATTTTGATCTTTTCTGAGCTGGACTTGGAGTCATTATTGGTTTCAGAATAACTTGTGCAGCGGTCATTGGAGTAGAATTCACTGGAACTGGCTGATGGAGTGCAGAGGATGTCCCTAAATTTGAAGACGCAGGCTGCTGAAGACATTTCTGCTTTTTCATATCTGCAATTGCACTCCTTGTGCGACCTAGTATAAGAAAATGAAAAACAAAATAGGTTAAGAGTTCATTTTAAGAGACAGTCATGTTTCTAAAGCTGTATCTTGGGAAGTTGAAACCCAACCAACTGTTCCTTCACCTTTACAGATTTGTTGTGGAACAGATTTTATGTTTTATTAATTAAGTTGCTGATGAGAACACTGATAGACTCAAAAGTATTAATGTTAGAAAGGTAGAAAGGCACTACACTCAGGATCACAGACATTGAAGACCGCTTCAAATATGCAGAGGTAGGATAGTATCTTGGTGACTTCCAGGTAAGGATGAGTTTCTTACAATTTACTGTGGCAAGTTTAACTTCTTAATCTGCTTGATGGAGGTGGTGATATGAAAAGCCAGTGGGATTTTTATTAATTAATTTGATGAAAATTCATGTTATCCTAAAAGAAATCACATGAAGAAATCTGTACCTCTACATGTACTGCCCAAATATTAGTGGCTTAGCACTGGCCCTCCAGATGTTTTGGACTACAACTTTCATAACCATTTGCTGCTGACCATGTTGGATGGGGCTAATCATAGTATCTGGAGATTGAGAATTTTCAGTCCTGTTCTAGAATGCCAGCCCTGTCCTATAAATAGGTCCTGATTCCATTCATATTATAAAATTCAGCATTAAGCAGCTGCAATATAACTGTTTTGGGAAGATCTTACACCATATTAAGAATGAAAATTTAAGTGCACTTAAAAGCAACTACAGTGGTGCCTCGCTTAACGAGGATAATCCGTTCCAGCGAAATCGCTGAAGAGCGAAATCCTTGTTAAGCGAAATAAAAAATCCCATTGAAACGCATTGAAAACCCATTCAATGTGTTCCAATGGGCTGAAAAACTCACCGTCCAGCGAAGATCCTCCATAGGGGCGGCCATTTTCGGTGCCTGCATAGCGAGGAATCCGTCCAAAAACACAGTGGGGAGCCATTTTACACAACGGGCAGCCATTTTGAAGCCGCCAATCAGCTGTTTTACAAATGTCGTAATGTGAAGAATTGGTTCCCGAAGCAGGGAACCGATTGTTGCAAAACGGATTTTGCCTATTAAAACATCGTTTTGCAATCGCAAAACAGTAATTGTATAGCGGTTTCATTGTTTAACAAGGCAATCGTTAAGAGAGGCACCACTGTAATGACTTTCAAGTAAATATGGTTTCAACAAGGCTTTTGACAGGTAAAATCAGACAACATAGTACAGATTGGTTTTGATACATACTCCGCTGATGAGCAACAAATCCGCAAGAATTCTGCATGCTCCTGTAGAAATGAAATTGCCAATTCAAGTTAGGATACCATACACTGTAAGTGCAGAAAGAGTACATTTAAAGATAAATAGCAATCTGCAATTTTGCCATTGATGTTATGTCCGTTGCACATGACAAACAAGGTTGACTATTTAATCAGCAAAACTAGAGTTTAAGTCTTCAAGATTCTATTTTCATACGCTCATGTTTCAGGAGAAGGATGCAAAAACAAAGGCTGCAGTTAAAATTTTAATCTTGCAAATGGAACTGAAATTGTAATCATCAGCACCGCACACAGGGGAAGGCATTCCTCCAAAAATGCTCCACTTGATCATCCTGATTTCATAAATCTTTCCACTTGAGACTTACAAAACCAGGTAAGTTAGGACCATTCAGGAAACAAACACCTTAAAAATATCTTTTGGAAGTGCAATTTCCAGAATTCACTGGTCAGCATTGCCAGTAGCCAGGCAGGCTGGAGGATCCTGGGAACTGTAGCCGAAAAATGGAAATCTTCATGACATCAAATACTTCACCACAATTTCACACGGCAGGAACATAACCCCCTACAACTAGACGATAAATGTAGACAGAACCCATTGGAAATATGGGCTATTTTTGCTTTACCTGATTTGGGAAAGAGTGTAGTCCAACTTTTTCCATAAAGATGACATCATTGCTGGAACATCGTTTGTTGCCTCTTTAAAAGAAAACACATGAAATCAGACCCAAAACTTGTATAAAATTTTGAAAATGATTTTGGCTGCAAGGTCTCTGCTCAACTAACTACCAATTAACACACTTCCTTCAAAAGCCTTGTGGCACAGTGGTTAAACTGCTGTATTGCAGGCAAAACTGTGCTCAAGACCCGGGGTTCAATCCCAGGCAGCCGGTTCAAGGTTGATACAGCCTTCCAAGGTTGGTAAAATGAGTACCCAGCTTGCTGGAGTTGGGGGGCAATGTGTAATTAACTTGTAAACCGCCCAGAGAGTGCTTGAAGCGCTATGGGGTGGTATATAAGCAGCACGCTTTGCTTAGCTTTTGCTTCAAAACAAATTCAGTGGATTTCAATTCAACCTATTTCGTACCAGATGTGGCCTGTTTAGTCCTATAAGCAGTTAGTGCACAAAACACATTGCAGAAATCTACATATGCCCCTATTTATGTTGTTTGATTCTTATTTTATGGAATGTTTTGAATTATTGCAAATAATTATTGCAATAAGCACTGATCAGCTGGGTAACACACAGATTGACAACTGAATTCTATTAATAAAGTTAATATTAAAGGTAAAGGTTCCCCTTGACAATTTTTTGTCCAGTCGTGTTCGACTCTAGGGGGCGGTGCTCATCATTACAGTATTGTAATTACAGTGGTGCCTCGCTAGATGATGATAATCCATTCCACTGGAATAGCTGTTTAGTGAAATCATCATCTAGCGAAAAGCATTTCCCCATTGGAATGCATTGAAACCTGTTTAATGCGTTCCAATGGGGAAGAATCGTCATTGTCTAGTGACGATCAGCCATAGGAAAACCACTTTGTGAACCGCCAATCAGCTGTTTAAATAGCTGTCTTGTGAAGCTTAGGTCCCAAAACACCCGTTTTCCGAGCACGGAGGGAGCTGTCAAAATTGCTGTCTAGCGAAAATTCCTTTGCAAAGCAGGGACCAAACATCGTCCAACGAAATTCCCCCATAGGAATAACTGTTTTGCGAATCACTATAGCAATTGCAAAAAGCCAATGTCTAGCGAAAAAACTATCATGCGAGATACCGTAACTGTCTAGCGAGGCACCACTGTAAGTAAAAGTAAAATATCACAATCAATACACCCTCTCATGATCAAATAGCCAAATGTTAGTAATAATATCTATGATTTGCATGTCCTAAATCTTTCCACCATGCTTACCTTTTGATTTCATCGCTATATACTCATTGAGTATGGTGTTCAGGTTTTTTCCAAACAGAGACTAAATAAAAAAAGAACAGCATTAAATGTCCAGCAATACTATAATCAGAAGTATGGCATATGACAAACATAATGGTTACAGTAAATGAGGCATTTGGACCCACAAAACCACCCATTTTAATGGGTGCGCAAACAGACACAATGCAGTAAGGACTAGGGGGAGTATGGCACTTCAATTCATTTTAAGTTCAAATATGAAGCATATTGGACCAACTCAGGAAAAAATAAGACCCAGGGGCTTCTATCTATGGATAGCCCTCATCTCACAAATGCATAGTAAGTTGTGTGACATCAAGTCAGAATTGATTTATATGGACTCCAATAGGGCTTCCAAGGCCACTGGGATATGTAAAAAGCAGTTTGTTCTACACAGACACCCAAGCAAATCTCCATGGCCAAGTGGGGATTTGAGCCCAAGTCTTACGAGTCCTAGTTCCTCATTCTGTCTACTACACCGCACAAATGCATACTCACCAATAAACAAGCTGGAACAAATCCTTCCCCAGTGTAGTGCTCTGCATATTCTTTCAAATCTGAACTTTCCAATATAAATGCTCTGCAGGTTGCTAGTAGCTTTTCTTGTTGCAAATATCCTGCAATAGACAATAAATTTTCCTGCTTTGTATATGCATATGCATCAGGGGAAAATCAAAGCAACAGTACAACAATATACACAGCTTATCACAAACAGAACAGATCTAGTTGGTGCTCAGAAGTGATGCAGGCCATGAATTCAGAAATATGTTGAAAACAGAGTTGTTAAGATCATCAGGAGAGACCTTTCTCTCAGTCCTGCTAACTTCACAAGGCTTTCTCTGTTGCTCCCAGACTCTCTCCCACAAGAGGCCAGGCTGGCTCCATCTCTGCAGTGTTTCCGCAATCAGACATAGACCTCTCTCTTCAGACAAGGTTTCCCTGAGTGACTGGATGTCTGAGTGGAGTTTTTTAAATGGACTGATGTTCCTTGTTGTTTTGGCATTCCTTATGCTTTTTGTTTGATACTTTTTAGTACTGTACTGTATTTGTATATTCACTATTGTTGGCTTTTATATTGTCTTAATTATATAAGCCACATTGAGTCCTTTTAAAGAGAAAGGTGGGATGAAAATTGTTTAAATAAATAAATAACTATTGTTTTTTAATGACATAAGCCACCTTGGGGAAAAAGTATTTTAAATAAATACTCGCCTGCCTCCCGAAAAGTAACAAAGGGTAATGTCATTACTCCCAAGAATAAAACACAAATGAGATGAGCACTAATGTGATAAACATTAAGCGCTTTGTTGGAAGTTCATCTGAGATAATTTTTTTAAATTTTTAAAGTGATTTTTATTTAAAAATCAATTTAAATGTCATGTGTAGATAACATTTTACTAAAAAGTATATATTACTTATGAGTAATGATCATCATATTATGTCTTAAAATGTGAAGAAGCTAACTTTTTCACTAAGACTTCCAAATTCTGCCTCAATTATACTAATGCAGCCAAGCATAAAGCCTTATGATTTAAACATGCATCCATTTCTTGAATAACAAAATATGTAACAATTTTTACAGCTCAAGTAAAAACACCTTACAGTATAATATTTTGGAGGAAAAATATTTTTGCTAGATTTGGTTTGCCATTTGTCAGTTGAAGGGGACTTATATAATTTTTTTTAAAAATAAAAATAAAAAAATAAATAAAA